ATTCCAGAACTCCCTAACTTCATGCTACAGCTCTGGTGAGGTTAAAAGCTCTGCCCAGTTCAGGCAAAGCCAGAATCATTACGCTCTGGTCACCTAGCCAGTGAACATTTACTTCCAACCAAAAGTCTTAATTTTTTAATCTGTGAAATGGAAAATAATAACATATGTAAATATATTTAAAGCACCTAGAAAAATGTCTGAAATTCTCAATAAAATCATTTTTCTCTTTTTGCTACTCCTCCATCATTTTTTCTTATTCATCAGCATAATTATTTTTAATGTATATCTTTAAATGAGAAAGTAAAAAATTCAAGATACTGAGCTAACCCCCATATTTGGAGAATAACCCCCAAATCACGGTGTACTTGGTATCCATTCTGCCCAGGCCCAGACTATGCCAGTGTCATCTCTTCTTCTCATAAAATAAATAAAACAAAGCCATGACAAGCATAAACCTCAGGGACATTTTTCTTTTCTCAAGGGATTTACATGCAGCACTGTCCCCGACTAGCAAAGCATATAAAGGTGCAAAACTACGTGAGGTGGCTTTGTAATTAGAGAAACATCTCTCATTGTCTGCTCAAATCTTATTAGACCTTTTACATTCTGAGTCATGAGAATATACCTTTTTTTCCTTCCATTATCTCACTTTTCTCATCTGCAAATTGGGGTCACTGCCTAGCACACTGAGCGCCAGCCACCTAAGGTTCAAATGCGATTCTGTGTTGCCATGGTGACAGGAACAAACTCTGTGATCACCATGCTCATATTTGACTCCCGGCTTCATCACGTAATCACTATTTGTGTACCCTGCACCTTCTGGTGGAAATAACTATGCCCTTCAGTGACTCTCTCCTGATCTGGTGATGTGTATAATGGTACTTTTATCAGGGGACTTCTTCTGTGAAGATTGAATAGGCAAACTTTAATATATTGTCAGCCATATAATAAACACTCAATAGATACTATCATTTTATTCAAATTGCTTAAAATGTCTTTTTCTCTTGGCACCAGGTACAGATGGCATGATTGCACCTGGCGCCAAGAGAAAAAGGCATTTTAAGCAATTTGAATAAAGTGATAGTATCTATTGAGTGTTTACTACATGGCTGACAATATCTGGTCTATTCCATGGTTACGGAACTTGTTTAATGTGCATTTAGCAATGCACAAAGATTGTAATCCCAGCACTTTGGGAGGCAGAGGCAGTTGGATCACCTGAGATCGGGAGTTCGAGACCAGCCTGACCAACATGGAGAAACTCCTGTCTTTACTAAAATTACAAAAATAAAAATTAGGTGAGAGCAGGGGTACATGCCTGTAATCCCAGCTACTCAGGAGGCTGACGCAGAAGAAGCGCTCGAACCCAGGAGGCAGAGGTTGTGATGAGCTGAGATCATGCCATTGCACTCCAGCCTGGGCAACAAAAGCAAAACTCCGTCTCAAAAAACAAAAAAATCTTTTTCTACCCCATCTTAATGTCCCTGGATAATGTTATCAGTTTCCTAGTTCCAACAGTATATTCACAGAAAAAAAAAAAAAAAAATCCAACCCTGCTGGGTTTTTCTTAGGAATAGGGAGAAATAGAAATATTCGTGTAGTGTTTTATTCCCTGCTGTTTCCCAATATTCCTCAGCCCTTCTGATCAGTCTCATTTAGATTCTGCTACTGTCTTCCATGGAAGTCCAGTGACATTTGATACTCTGTAGATTTCAGAACGCATCTGCCTCATTGTGATAAATACATACAGAGAAAAGGAAGTAGTCCACAGAACTGAGCAGAGAACAGTTAACAGTTCTCACCAAGGAATTAGCTGGGAGTAGGAACATGGGTGCACACACAGGTGGTTGCTTTTCACCATCACATGCAATGTGGAAGGAGTCCCATCAGCCCACCATGTTCATCACCTACCCCATGGGGTTCAAATAAAATAAGCAGCTGTTTCTTTTCAAAACATCACCTAGGATTTTTCCAAACACTGGCCCCCATGACCCTTTTTTAAAAATTGGGTGGTATTCAAAAGGGGTTCTGGCTGGGTACAGAGAGCAAAAAAGCATGATCTTACCCATAGAGGCATTGATTAATGATTGGCTGATTTCCTAAAAACTAAATATATATTTCATTTTAAAGGCTTTAACGTGCACATGAATTACCTAGGGACAGTGTTAAAACACAGATTCTGATTCAATAAGTCCGGTGTGCAAATGTTGAATGAAATTCTGCATTTCTAACTAGCTCCCATGTATTGATGCTGGTGGTCTGCAGACCTCACTTTGAGTAATAAAAATGTAGTGTATTATATTTCTTCTCCAGGATATAACATCTAAAGGGATTTCTAAACGTATTAAAATCTGAGGTGAGAGAGCCAGTACTGATGAGAAAACATATTCACATCTTAACTGAGTATTCCAATTTTTGATTATGGACAAGGCTGTGTATCGAAATACTGTGTATCAAAATATTCAATGACTTAGGGAAAGAAACAAGCATGATCAAATTAGGCGAAGGTGTGTGTGAGCATGCAAGTGGGTGAATTTAAGTTAATTATAATGGAAATGATATGTACAGATGGAAAATAATGAACTATTTTTAAAATACCACTGTCTAGAAAACATTCTTAGCCAGGCCAAAAGAAATTCTGTAAACGCTGTAACACTTTTATCTTTTTTAAATAACGTGATTCCATAAATAACTTTTCTAGGTCATTCTTATCTAGTGAAAAAATTAGAAGCAACCTGTAGGCTGACTATATTACTTGAAGACTCAGTTGCCCATTAAGAAAATCAAATATAAAACCTTCACATCTGGTTAATATCTGGTCTATTCTATTATTACAGAACTTGTTTAATGTGCATTTAGCAATGAAGAAAGATTGTAGCTTTCTTTCTCTCTTTTTGCTTTCTCTCTTCATAGTTTCATTAAAATGATTAAATAAGCCTGGTGCTTTATTAATTGATGAGATTGATGCTACAAGTGGTTAGCACAGGTGTAGTTTTTAAAGTGAGATTCTATTTACCAAATTAATTTCACATTAAGTAATAGCCCCTAAGAATTTGCTATGAATGGATGGCATTGATGTTAAGATACTTGCAAAATATGACGTTTTTTCTCATTTTATTATGCTTTACATTTTAATAAAAGCACATTAAGGAAATAAAATGCAGAAAATTAATTTTTAAAACTCATAATCCAACCACCTATATTGCATGAAAAGAGATGGAATATATTGATATATTTTCTTACAAGTTCTCCTGTATTGCTTTGCAGTATAGTTACTAATCTGAATCAATGTCAGAAATTAACTCCTCAATATTTTTAAGATGGGTTACCTGGATATCATGTACTCATTAGATATAATCATGCATTTGGGAAATTTTATGATTCTATGTTGTTTTCAGCTGGAGAAATCTTCACATCAAAACAGTAAACAGTGGTTATAGACATGATTTGCATTATCTTTAAATTAACTATTTAAACCAAGAGCATTGGCAATGTGTGTGCATTTATGGGGGTGGAGGTAATTGAAAAAAATAACAGTAGAATGACTAAAAGTATTGAATATGGGTGAGCAGAATAATGGGTACTAATGGCTCATTATTTTTGTAAAAGTTTGAATAAATACAACTATATTCACAGTTTGGAAATAGGTACAAAAATGTTTAAATATATTTTTCATGTGCACATACATATTTTAACAGATATATGTCAGGCACTCTGACTGTATCACATGTGTATTTTAACTATTATATTCTATACACATTTTATATCTTGCCTCTGGTATTTATTAAGTTGCAACCATGCTCTCACGTTATAAGTCTTAATTTTTTAATTGCTTTATGCTATTCCGTCATGTGAATATGCAATGAGTCACTTTCCAGTCATGCAGCATTTATATTTGCTCAATGCTTCCCTGTGAACTTCAGCTTCATACTTGTGACAGGAATCAGTACTCTGCACTTGCTTTTTTGTACACTGACTATCTTGTTGCTATCTGTTTAAGACACAGAATTATATAATCTGATTGTGTCATCCGTAAACATATGACTGCTATTATTTTGCTTCAAGTGGGAAAAATATCTGCCTTCATGAAGTGATTCTCAAAAAGTAGGCAAAATATGCAAGACTCTCCTTAAAAGAAAGCTGGTTGAATTCACTTCTCAAAGCATCTACAAACATAAGCCTGGTCCCTTGGTAACGAATGAGGTGAACAGAGTGACAGTCTGGAGCTACAAGGGAAAAAAAGGGTTAAGAGATGATTTGCAGTTTTTCTCATGCAAAAACTCAGCTAAGAGATCCTCCATGTGCATATGTGTGTACATGCGTAGGTGTGCATGTGTGTTTAGGGTTTCTGCTAATGTAAATGACTAATATTATTCTCTTTATTTATATTAGCATCCAAAGTTTCCAACAGCTCTGGGATACCCTTATTTCTAAGTCGGGACATTGGAGAAGAGGCAGTAAACTCTTGTTGTTTAGCCAGATTGAGACACGCAATGCTGACTTGCATTCCTGCCAAATTATTGGTTCACAAGGCTCTGTTTGAGTAGGCAGAAGCTTCATGGAACTGACTGAATTGTTCTCACAAGGCCGAAGATACAATTTAGCTGTGAATGCATAGTCCAGCACACTTAACATGCAAACGACCAGCAAAAAAAATAATGGCATGTCAAGTGCAATTTTCTCACCAGTCACAAACACCGTAAACTGTAATATAGTTTAATTATTTGTCATCCCGTGTCCTTCATACTAAGCACCACCCAAATGATTTCCAAGTTTCAGTGAAGAGGGAAGGTTAGAAGGTCATATTTAAAGAGAGAAAATGAGTCAGTGCCTTGGAGGAAGAGAATTATAAATAGATGTGGCATTACCAGCAAGAGAGTTACATCCAAATAAGGAACAGCTCAGAAGCCCAGGTAGGAGGAAAAAAGGGAGGATAGAGAGCAGAGAAGTTTATGTAAGAAATAAGATTTAGTATAAAAGAATTCTGACCACCTGCAGAGCACAGGACTTACAGAACAAGGACTAAAACAACCTGAGCCAAAAATCAATGTTACACACACACACACACACACACACACACACACACACACTGAGCATTTCTAATCTGAAAATCTGAAATTGGAAAACCTCCCACATCTGAAAGTTTTTGAGCACTGACTTGACACCAAAAGTAGAAAATTCCACACCTGAGAGGATAGATCCAAGATGGCCAATTAGTAGCAACTCAGGATTCCAGCTCCCAGCGCGGAGGGTGAGTGGCCACCACATTTCCAGAGGGATTTTTATGGTCCACAGACCAGGAGATTCCCAGGTGGAGGAGCCCCACGGGTCGCCAGCAGGGCTGTTTCTGCCAGCGGGCTGTTTTGGCCGGTGCCGGGGCGCAGCGGTTCTCTGTACAAAATACATGGGTCTGGGCGCCGTTTTAGCTGGCAATTGGAGTTCCTGGCAGACAGAGTTGCCCATTCAACTGATAAAAAAGGGGACTGAATAAACAATGAAATGAAGGCAGAAATAAAGATGTTCTTTGAAACCAACAAGAATGAAGACACAACATGCCAGGATCTCTGGGACACATTTAAAGCAGTGTCTAGAGGAAAATATATAACAATAAATGCCCACATGAGAAGAAAGAAAAGATCTAAAATTGACACCCTATTGGCAAAATTGAAAGAGCTAGAGGAGCAAGATTAAAAAAAAAAACTCAAAACCGAGCAGAAGACAAGAAATAACTAAGATCAGAGCAGAACTGAAGGAGACAGGCACACACAAAAAAACCCTTCAAAAAATCAATAAATCCAGGAGCTGGTTTTTCAAAAAGATCAACAAAATAGACAGACCACTAGCCAGATTAATAGAAAAGAGAGAATAATCAAATAGATGCAATAAAAAACAATAAAGGGGATATCACCACAGATTCCACAGAAATACAAACCATCATCAGAGATCATTACAAACAACTCTATGCACATAAACTAGTAAACATGGAAGAAATGGATAAATTCCAGGACACTTGCATCCTCCCAAGCCGAAACCAGGAAGAAGTGGAAACCCTGAATAGACCAATAACAAGGTCTGAAGTTAAGGCAGCAATTAAGAGTCTACCACCCAAAAAAAGCCCAGGTCCAGAAGGGTTGACAGCCGAATTCTACCAGACATACAAAGAGGAGCTGGTACCATTCCTTTTGAAACTATTCCAGACAATCCAAAAAGAGGGAATTCTTCCCAAATCATTTTATGAGACCAACATCATCCTGATACCAAAACCCGGCAGAGACTCAGCAAGAAAAGAAAACTCCAGGCCAATATCCATGATGAACATTGATGTAAAAATCTTCAATAAAATACTGGCAAGCCGATTGCAACAGCACATCAAAAAGCTTATCCACCATGATCAAGTAGGCTTCATCCCAGGGATGCAAGGCTAGTTCAACATATGCAAGTCTATAAACGTAATTCACCACATAAACAGAACCAAAGACAAAAACCACATGATTATCTCAATTGATGCAGAGAAGCCCTTTGACATAATTCAATAGCCCCTTATGCTAAAAACCCTCAACTAGGTATTGTTGGAACGTATCTCAAAATAATAAAAGCTATTTACGACAAACCAACCACCAATATCATACTGAATGGGCAAAAACTGAAAGTATTCCCTTTCAAATCTGGCATTAGACAAGGATGCCCTCTCTCACCACTCCTATTCAATATAGTATTGGAAGTTCTAGCCAGAGCATTCAGGCAAAAAAAAAAGCGAAAAAAAAAAAAAGAAAAAAATAAAGCGTATTCATATAGGAAAGGAGGAAGTCAAATTTTCTCTATTTGCAGACGACATGATTGTATATCTAGAAGACCCCATCGTCTCAGCCCCAAACCTCCTGAAACTGATAAGCAAGTTCAGCAAAGTCTCAGGATACAAAATCAATGTGCAAAAATCACATGCATTCCTATACACCAATAACAGACTTAAAGAGAGCCAAATCAAGAACAAACTTCCATTCACAATTGCCACAAAGAGAATAAAATACCTAGGAATACAACTAACAAGGAATGTAAAGGACCTCTTCAAGGAGAACTACAAGCCACTGCTCAACGAAATAAGAGAGGACACAAACAGATGGAGAAACATTCCATGTTCATGGTTAGGAAGAATCAATATCGTCAAAATGGCCATACTGCCCAAAGTAATTTACAGATTCAATGCTATCCCCATCAGGCTACCAATGACCTTCTTCACAGAACTGGAAAAAACCACCTTAAACTTCATATGGAACCAAAAGAGAGCCCGCATAGCCAAGTCAATTCTAAGCAAAAAGAACAAAGCAGGGGGCATCACACTACCAGACTTCAAACTATACTACAAGGCTACAGTAATCAAAACAGCATGGTACTGGTACCAAAACAGAGATATAGACCAATGGAACAGAACAGAGGTCTCGGAGGCAACACAACATATCTACAACCATCTGATCTTTGACAAACCAGTCAAAAACAAGCAATGGGGAAAGGATTCCCTGTTCAATAAATGGTGTTGGGAAAGCTGGCTAGCCATGTGCAGAAAGCAGAAACTGGACCCCTTCCTGACACCTTACACTAAAATTAACTCCAGATGGATTAAAGACTTAAACATAAGACCTAACACCATAAAAACCCTAGAAAAAAACCTAGGCAAAACCATTCAGGACATAAGCGTAGGCAAGGGCTTCATGACTAAAACACCAAAAGCATTGGCAACAAAAGCCAAAATAGAAAAATGGGACCTAATCAAACTCCACAGCTTCTGCACAGCAAAAGAAACAGTCATTAGAGTGAAATAGCAACCAACAGAATGGGAAAAAAATGTTTGCAATCTACCCACCTGTCAAACGGCTGATATCCAGAATCTACAAAGAACTAAAACAGATTTACAAGAAAAAAACAAACAAACCCATTCAAAAGTGGGCAAAGGATATGAACAGACACTTTACAAAAGAATACATACATGAGGTCAACAAACATATGAAAAAATGCTCATCATCACTGGTCATTAGAGAAATGCAAATCAAAACTACATTGAGATACCATCTTATGCCAGTTAGAATGGCAATCATTAAAAAATCTGGAGACAACAGATGCTGGAGAGGATGTGGAGAAATAGGAACACTTTTACACTGTTGGTGGGAGTGTAAATTAGTTCAACCATTGTGGAAGACAGTGTGGTGATTCCTCAAGGACCTAGAAATAGAAATTCCATTTGACCCAGAAACCCCATTACTGGGTATATATCCACATGCACATGAATGTTCATTGCAACACTGTTTACAACAGCAAAGACCTGGAACCAACCCAAATGCCCATCAGTGATAGACTGGACAGGGAAAATGTGACACATACACACCATGGAATATTATGTAGCCATCAAAAACGATGAGTTTGTGTCCTTTGTAGGGACATGGATGAAACTGGAAACCATGATTCTCAGCAAACTGACACAGGAACAGAAAATCGAACATCGCATATTCTCACTCATAGGTGGGTGTTGAACAATGAGAACACATGGACACAGGGAGGGGAGCATCGCACACTGGGGTCTGTTGGGGGGAAATAGGGGAGGGACAATGGAGGGTGGGGAGTTGGAGAGAGATAACAAGGGGAGAAATGCCAGATATAGGTGAAGGGGAGGAAGGCAGCAAATCACACTGCCATGTGTGTACCTATGCAACAATCTTGCATGTTCTTCACATGTACCCCAAAACCTAAAATACAATTAAAAAAAAAAAAAGAAACTAAAAATAAAAAAAAGAAAATTCCACACCTGACTTCATGTGATGGGTCACAGTCAAAGCTTCGTTTCATAAAATTGTTATTTTTAAAATGATAGAAAATGTATCTCAGGCTATGTGTATAAGGTAAATATGAAACATAAATCAATTTCATGTTTAGACTTGGCACCACTCTCCAAGACATCTCAATATATGTGCAAATATTTCAAAATCTGAAAATATCTCAAATCTGGACCACTTCTGGTCCCAAGGATTTTGAAAAAGGATATTCAATGAGGATGTGGGGTGTGTGGGGAGGGTATGTGGGTGTGTGTGTGTGTGTGTGTGTGCGTATTCCTGTTCCATTGGGGTTGTATGCTGTACCTCAAATATATAATATATTAATCCCATACACTCAGAAGAGAGAAAATTACACTTAACAGAAGTGATTTTTTCCCCAATTACTTTGTAATAGAACTAAAAGAGAAAAAAGCTAGATGTCCAAGAGATCCTTGTTTATCTTTCTAACTTGATGTAAAAGACTTTAACCCTATTTCTCTGTCTTACAGTGCAATGGACTGAACGTTTATGACCTTCATATGTTGAAGTTCTAATCTTCAATTTGATGGTAGTAAGAGGTGGGTCTCTTGAAAAGTAATTTGGTCATGAGGGTGGAGCCCTCATGAAGGGGACTACAGCCCATCTAAAAGAAGACCCAGAAAGCTTCCTTGCCCTCTTTCTGCCAATGTGAGAATACAAGAAGATTGCAGATTACAACCTGGAAAAGGGCCCTCACCAGAACCAACCACCTGGCAACCTGCTCTTGAAGACTACCAGCCTCTAGAATTGAGGGAAATACATTTCTGTTTATAAGCCACCCAGTCTATGTTAACTTGCTACACAGCCAGAAGTGACCAGGACACACTCAGTTACCCCAACCCTCTCTCAGCTCTGTAAATAGCCTTGAACGTGCTATTTCCTCTATTGAAAATGTTCTTTTTCTCTTTATTCCTGCACCCTGGTTCAGCAGGTTAACGCATTATCAGCTTCTGGGCTATTTCCTTTGGGAAGATTCCATCCTCGCATCGAATAAGGCAGCGTCCTCTGTATATGCTTCCATAGAACCACATTTCTTCACTTCAGAGTACTTATTTCAGTTTTCTTGTGATGTTTCTTCATGTGATTATCTGTTTTAATATCTGTCTCCCTCTAGTAGTTCATTGGCTCCATGCAGAAGGCATAGACAGATCTGTGTTTGATCAGAACTGAGAATCTACTGGCAATGGAATACTCTGCAGATAGTAGGTGCTTAAATGTTTGTGGCATGGCTGTATCAGTCACCATCCTGACTTACAGCCAAGGGTTCTTATAATGACACCCAGCTGTCTACCATGAAGAATCTATGCACATTTTACCACAGGATGAGATTTTTGTGTTGTTTGCCAGATTTATCAAAAACAACCACAGGTTTTCTCCCTCTTTTCTAAGACCAGAACAAATCAGCATAGTTGGGTTAGGCATCCCATGAGCCACTTTTTTCTCTGCCACAATTTCTAAAGAAAGTCAACACTGAGGTACACAAAGATGTGACATACTCAGTGTTTATGTGTTTATGAACAGACTCTGCTCTGCCTTGGTCCACAGAGAACTACAGGCAGGAATACAGTCTGTCTGGCTGGTATTTGCTTTTCAGAATTCCAGACAAAAACTTTCTGCTCCAGTTTGTACTATAAGCATAAACACAAAAGTCTGAAGATAGTTGGAAGACAACGTGTTGCCTAACACAGTGGTAAGTAAGGAAGACAGTCTCCACAGGGGTAACCTTGCAGCCTTTGAAAGGGAGTTCCTTAAACCAGTTAACTTTTTCTTCATGCCCATACCTCAAAGAAAGACTTACAAAATCAATACATAGAAAAAAAATTTAACTACCCAGTTGGCCGATGAAATACCCATATGAAAGAGAGAACATGAAAACCCCTTTATGGAAAAATGCCATTGAGGTTATATGACTATTACAAATTCTTCTATTATATAAGTAAATTTATGCATTTATTTTTTTCATGTAAAATATTTACTGAGAAGTTCCTATAGGAAGGCAGGGTTCTAGGTTCTGGGGACACAGAGTAAAGACTAAAGGACTCAAAGTTTCTTTTCTCTGTGGAACCAATATCCTAGAAGAGACAAATAATAAACATGATAAGGTATAGAGTATGTTAGATAATGATCATCAGGAAGAAACAAAAATCAAACTTAGACAAATGGTATGATACATTAAAGGAGGAACAATTACATTTTAGAAGAATTGACAAGGAAAGCCTCTCTAAGAATATGACTTCCAGGCCAGCCATGGTGGCTCATACCTGTAATCTCAGCATTTTGGGAAGCCAAGGCGGGAAAACTGCTTGAACCCAGGAGTTCAAGATCAGTCTGGGAAACACGGGAGACCCCATCTCTACAAAAGATTTAAACAAAAATAGCCAGGCATGGTGGTCCATGACTGTAGTCCCAGTTTTTAAGGAGGGACTATTCACTTGTGCCTGGGAGGTCGAGGTTGCAGTGAGCTATGAACACAACACTACACTCAAGCCTGAGTGACAGAGCAAGACCCTAACTCAAACAGAAACCAATATATATGACCACCGACTTCATTCCATTTTAACAGAAAATATAAAGACTTATGTTGCTTCTGACCAAGGGAAGCATCTTACTCTCAGTCATTTTACTCCCTCCCTTATGACTTTGCATAAATCTCTCTATCTTGCTGGGGGACTTCACTTCCTACCCCACTCCCTGGGCCAGTGACCCTTCAAGACACATAGAAACATCATCTCTACACCACAAAATATGTACCAGCGAAAAGGCCCTTCTTTGGGCTCCCAGAGTCTTGTTGTTCACCTAGTGAGGTAATTGTTAATTTGTCTACCACTCCAACTACAAACACATACACACACACATACAATTAAGAATGTAATTACAACTACAATTACTATATAGCAGGCACTATGCTTCTATTATTTTCTTTACTCTTACAAATTCTTATTTATCTTATTTGTATGATCATTGAAAAACTTCAGTAACCTTCTCAGGGTTAACATCCAGAAAGTGGCCAAGCCCATATTCAAACCTTGAGAGAAGTACATCTCTAATGCTAAGCCTCTTTCTCAGCATCCAGCTGCTTACCAATATACTAAAAACAGATGATGGATGCTGTAAGGTTATATGTGAAGCACTGAAGAACCAATCACTCAAAAACTAGCTCTGCCCTTGAGCATGAACTGAGCCCGCTAGGTCAGAGGCCCTACCATGGTGACTCACAGGAGGGCCTTTCAAAGAGCAGGTGTGCTTGTAAGTAAGTAATGCTTCTCAGCCGGTTCCTAGGGAGAAGCTGGGAGGTGAAGTGGTTTAAAGAGTCGGATGCGGAAGAGTGTGCACAGAGATAAAACACTGTAAAGCACCGGTGGGCACCCCGATATGGATCATCCCCGCACTCAGCCTGACTTTTAATCTGAAGCAGTCACCTGAAATGTATTTTTGGCTACTCTACAAACCAAGATCCTCCAAGGCTACACTGTCATAATTCAGGATCATTTTTCTTTAAAGGGAAATAGGTATGATGGGAAATGTTTGCAGAAAAGTTTCCAGAAAATAAACTCTGATTTAACAATTGTTTGGGAATTGGTCATGGTAGGAAGCCGTGAAAAGGCTAGATAAAACCCATCACTAAGACTCAAAAGCATTTTGACTATTTCAAAATCCTTGGGTTCACTGGCAACATTTCCATCCTTCAGAGAAGCATGAAAGTCTCACGTATCACTAAGTCACAAGAAGATGCTGAATGCCTGACTGTTTACCTCTATCTTTATTACTTCATGTAAGGAATGGAGGTGAAATCAGTTATCTGATTCTGAGTTCAAAGCAACCCCATGTTAATTACCTTTTCTACCCAGATAAAAATGAAATGTTCTCCTGTTCATTTGTTTTGATTTGTTCATTTGTTTTGCATGTTTTCTTATTTACATTAGGCAAGACACAGAGTGACATACCTTCATAAAGAGGTAACTAAGAAGAGCAAGAAGGTGTCCATTATATAAATATGCATGTATTCACATAATTTCATATGGCATGAAAATGTCTTGCCTTAGGGCTGATTAAAGAAGTTTTGAACATCCAGAAATAGGCATTTAGAGACTTTACATTCTATACTCATTACCTTTTAAGTGTAAATTGCAGTTTATGCTCCAGTTAGCTAGTTATTAATATGTAATAAGGCATAGTGGGTGAAATAATGGGCAATTGGAATTTCCAACAGGATTCAAACTCAGGTAGGTAATTTACCAGCTCTGTGATCTTGATTTGGTTTATTAATCCATCTAAACTTCAGTTTTGCATCTACAGAAAAGATACAATAATGCTGGTAAAGAAATCGCATATCCAAAACTCACAGGGCCAGATGTATTTTGGAATTAAAAACTTTTCATATTTTAGAAACATATTAAGGTATATAAACTATATGGTAAGTAACACGCTCAGCAGGGTCTGGGGCAGCACCCTGTAATCAACCACATTAACATTTTTGCAGCAAAATCTATGAATAATCAAAATTACGGGATGCATTATGATATAAATAGCCTCAAGTCAGTTCTGCTACCTGAGTTTGTATCAAGGATACAAAAAATATATATATTTCTGAGATTTTTATATTTGAACTTATGACAAGGGGAGTACAGACTTGTTTAACACACATATATTTGTATGCATACATGCAAATAAACACACATAGGCATATATTGAAGGGGGGTTATTGTTAGAATAAAAAAGATTGGTGCCCACAAAGTGCTTTTACAATAGTGTTCAACACATAATAAACACTCAGTATTGGCCAAAATGTAAGTTCCTGAAAGGCAGAGATCATTGTTTTGTTCATTGACGTGCCTCCCATGCCTAACAGAGCATCTGGCACATAGGAAAGGCTCAATAAATATCCATGTAATGATTCATGATATCGCCTCATGCAGACTTTCTTCATCCAAGTAGAACCATATGAAATGAGAAACATAATCCTTGGGGGAGCTCAATTTGTTTTGCAAGACAATGGGGTAAAAGCAGAATGCAATCAGAGGTTCCCAGTGAAACATAAAGAGTTAACTCAAGTCCTGAAGACCAATTATTTAATTCCCTTTCTACTTTTCTTTTAAATCGTGGCATTTGGAAAGTGAATAACATTGGCCTGATTCAGCTCTGAAACTGACTTATCAAGAAAACCAGTCATTGGCAGGCTCATAATTGCAATTATACCTACATGATGGTGTGCGTCAAAATTAAAAGGAGCTTATGAACAGTTCTGAGGAATAAACATATATAGTCTCCAATAACCCACAGTGTGATTTTGGAAAAGAAGCAGCCCATGTCTACACACAAAAAAATTGTCTAACCTGACAACAACAACAAAACAAATGTAAGTCCAGTCTAACACACACACACACACATACACACACACACACACACCCTCCACTAAATCAAAATTTTGATTGTGTACATTTGATTTTGTCTGACAGTGAATGAGTTAGTTTCCTATTGTGAAGTTTTTCAAATACTACGATGCACAGTTGAGCATCTACTCTAAGAATTTCCCTTTCTCCGTCTTAGGTTAATTATTGAAAAAACAGATGATAAAACAAAAAAAAATAAATATCTACCTGCAATTATACATATCTACATGGCCTTAAAACAAAATACACTCTTAGTAATTGAAGTGGTAGGAATTCAGACTGAGAAAAAATGCCTGTCTCTTCCAAGTACTATAAATTAGAGAATGAGAAATGCGAATGAGAAAGAAAATGTTATTTCTTTATGCATTATATAAGCAGTGCTATATTTTATTGATACAGGTGGAAGAGGTGGAAGGAGAAGTTTTCCCTAGAAGACCATTTAAAACTGTTGCCTTGGGATTAATCGTATTCCTAACAGAACAACAGGTAAACTCACTAACCATCTGGCCTGAAGAATTTACAGCTGTGTGGTCACAACTAAAAAAAATCTGGTATTAAACATCTTAAGACAACTAACAGACCCTGAAATTGAGATCTTAAAAACAAAGCTTACCCGGCCAACAAGAATTGGTTCAGGTCCAGAAAACTCTTCCAGCACAAACATTTGATTCCAAACCCAGCCTCTTTTGGAGCGGTTCAAAATTCGCTGTTCTTCACCCAGACTGCTTAGTTCCAAAGGGGATCCACTCATTAGAACTTGAGACTGATTCATTGGTGCCATGTAAATGCAAGGGGGAAGAGTAATCCATAATATTATTAATGGAGTCCAGAGATCCAAGAGCATTTCCGCTAGCCGTTCTGGCATGGTCCCACCAGTTAAGCAAATCACCACGAAAATGAGACAATTATTTTTTTTGTCTTCGGTCTGTAGCCATCCAATTCATCATGCAGTGCGGGGCATTTACTTACAGCTCTGCCACGTGTCTATAGCACGGGAAACGGACATCATCTAAGTAGCTTTTCTAAGACCACAATCCATTGGCTTTTCTTTTCATTGAAATTTCCTGCAAAAACAAGGAGGAAGAAAGATAAGGGTCTACTCGAACAGTTTTAAAACAAAAATCACTGCTTTTCAAAAGCACCTTAGGTGAACAATAGTAGGCACTTCTCAAACTCTTGAGTTAAGAAAGTGGAGCTGAAGAATTAGGATAAGTAATTAGGATAGTAAGTCCTTTTATTTTTAAGCTTTATTTGGATTTTAGTTTTCATTCACAGCTATGTGGTCTATCAGAAACTGTTTTGCATAACAGAAGTTCTCTTTTTCCTCCTTGCTTCTTTCTCTCACATTTCCCTCTCTTCCTTCTTGATTTCCTTCTCCTCTTTCCACCCCTTTCTCCCTTTCTTCCATTCTTTTTTGTTTTAACACTTCGGGGTGTATGCTAACACAGTCCACTTGTCAAACAGACTATAGGTCTTTTACTTTTTCTTTCCTTTTTTTAAACCTGTTTAAAGACCCATTTTGGTTCCTTTGATGCTGAACTCTGTGAAGTAAATAGCTTTGAATTAACAACATTAAAAAAAATACAAATGAGAATGGGAGGGGAATTTACCCCCATTTTTACAATCTTAGTTTCCAGGATTCATCAGAAGGGATTGCCCAGTTCAGGGTGCGAATGCAATTCTCTGCCAGGAAGCTAATAATGAGTGAATAAAATTAGATTGCTCCCAGAGAAAAATTATGTAATGTCCAGCTTGTATGCTATAATCAGGACAGTATCAGGGTCCCCATTCAAAATGTACAGTTAAAGAGGAGATTTAAATTATAGAAAGCTCCTTTGGGAATAAAATATAGTTTTAAAAAATGTACTGTTCTACTGAAGAGATTCAGAAAGACATGGACACAAAAAAAATCCCCATTACCTGAGGTGTCAGATACATTTTTTGCTTACCTTCAGCGTGGCAAATGTGTTTCTTCCCTCACCAAAAAAAAAAAAATATTTTTAAAGAAATAACTTTCACCGCAGATCCCAGAGAGAAGCTTTGCTGAGTTAGACTAAACGGGAAAATAATTCCTCAGGACACCATCGGGGACAGTGTGGCTCAGGGAATTCATCATAGGAGAGGGAACCTTTCACCTCTAGGTCTCTGTTTCCATTCTGGCTCAGAATAAGAAAGCTAGAAAGTCATTAACATTAGCTGGGCTGGTGAGTGGCCTTAGTGAAGCCAGATGAAAGGGGCAGACCCAGATTGTACTGCAAATACAGGCAGAATCCGATCTAACAAGATGGCCAGTGGAATCACCCTGCTTGTCATTCTTCGCCTGGGCTTAGCTCAATCACTGAGACTCTATAATTCAAAAGGGCTCAACCCTGATGAGTGCACAGAGGAGCCATGGCAAGCAGCAGTTGCTTTTGAAATGGAAGAAAAAAAATAATGTTTTTCAATAGGGGGCCAACACAGAGAAAAAGAAGTCCAGAACAACATTCTCTCCTTTCCCTGGAATTGCAGTAAATCTTCCCCTTAAAACAGTTTTCCCTTAAGGCTTTCTCTTATCCCAGATTGTGAGCAGACTTTGGCAGGCTTCAAAACTTAAACTAAACAAAATTCAAAAAGTCCCCATAAAGAAATCCCCAAATCTTTGTATGTTTCTGAATGGCAAAGCCATTTATTACTCTAAAATCATTTACAGTACACCCATGCTGTGCTCTTTCTAGACCTGAGGGAGAAGGCGGTGCTAAAGGAGGCTTGCACATGCTGAGGACTGTCTGTTCTGGAAACAGATACACCTGACTTTGGATCCCAGCTCACCCTACTTGCTGTCTCTGTAACGATGGACAAGATATTCAAGTTTTCTGAGCTTCAGTCTTTTCTTCTGCAAAGGGCCACTAGTAGTCATTCCTATCTAATGGGACAGTTGTGTGGTTCAGAAATAAGACACCTGTAAACCAGCCAGATGGCGGGGAATACTCAGTAAGCTGGAATTCGTATGGTTATCCTGGGCCAGATGTGTGGTGATGACAGGATTCCTGCCATGGAGAGGCTTTGAGAAAAGACAAATGAACGAGCAGAGTGAAGCTATGTGACCTCTGCAGTAAAAGTTGGCAAGGTATGAGGGTGTCACAAAGGTGCTCAAAGGCCTTCCCTGTGGTGGAGGATGAGGATGGTGCTAGTGGGGAAAGGCATTTTTACACACATGCTGAGATCCATGCTAGTCATAGAACCCCAGCCTAAACACTTCTCAGAGAAATGGGACTTGTACTTTCCAGTTCTCCCCTACTCCATGATAGACCGTACTTGAATGTGCAAAAGCCATGTATGCTATTCTTCAATGGCATACGTTTTGTTTGTATCTTTGTTTGTTTACTCAGGCTCAGAGTTATGGGCCCAAGTGATCCTCCTGCCTCAGCCTCTAGAGTAGCTGGGACTACAGGCATGTACCACCCCATGCCTGGCTAATTTTATTGTTACTATTATTTTTAGAAATGGAGGGGGTTGATCTTGAGCTCTTCACCTCAAGTGATCTTACCACTCCAGCCTCCCAAACAGCTGGGATTACAGCATGAACCAAGATACCTGGTTGGCCTGAGTTCTACAGCAGCAGAACAATAAGAACGTTGTGAGAGTGACCTCTAGTGTCAGCCTGTTTGGGGTTTGAATTCTAATTCGTACACTGATCATTTGTATAACAGGGGAGGGAGAGATAGTTAATAACAATAACAATGAAACAATGATAATAATACAGACCAGGCAAATTTGTTTTGAAGACTAAAAAAGATACACTTGGTAAGTCAGTTAGGATAGGCTAGCATGCATAGTTCTTTAAAATTTTGCCAAACACTCTGCAAGTATATTCTGACATCTGCTTTGTTGCTAAAGATTCTGGGATAAGAAAATTTCATCTCAGTTTAAATTCGTAATAGATACTTTCATGGAAACCACCAAGCGGCACTGAGTATGCACTGCGGCTTGTTGGATGGACTGTGGCATGGACTGCAGTGAGTTCTCCCTACCTGAACTCACCAGAATATGTTTAAAAATGATAATAGACCCTGGACCAATGTTATACAATGGCAGAGCTTGACTAGTCAGAATGAGTAGGTTAACTAAAAAGGGGCTATGTGTGTAGTCATAAATAGTATCCACTAACACAATATCTTACTGTTAGATAAAGCTTATAATGCCTTGCCTTGTTGTGTTCAAAACTGAGGCAGAGAATAATTGATTCACTAAAGGAACACCTGTAAGTAAAGAAAGAACCGCTATTTGAACCTATGTAACTTCAATATTCTTTCTGTACAAGACCCTTTCTCTCATTATAGAAATATTTATTTATTTATTTATTTATTTATTTATTATTTTTTGTGTGTGTGAAACAAATTTCCCAGCAGTATCCTAAAGTGTCTTGGGTTTCTTTCTACCACACAAGGATTTCTGTAACCTTCATAAACTTTTTTCTTCATTCTTCATAACACAATTACAATGAATATTAATTATTATAACTAATAGATTATGATAATATTTGTGTGTGGTGGAGGGATGGCTACATTCTAAGCACCTTGCTAAGACCGTTACATGCATAGCTCATATAATTCATTCAACACCACCACTTGATAGATGCTATTATTATTTTCTTGATTATTTTATTTATAAAATATTTGTTAAAACACCATTCCCTAACTCTTCAGTTTCTTTCTTTTTTTTTTTTTTAGGATTTAATATGTTAAATTTTATTTTATTAGATTTTATTTTTTTTATTTTTATTTTTTAGAAATATTATAGAAATATTTAATGACCATATACTGTTTGTCACGTATTGGGGGAGAGAAAGGCAAATGGTTCAGAACTCCTGTCTTCAGGAAGCAAAGAATCTGTTTCAAGAGTAAAGAAATACATAATCAATTCACTGAAATGTAGTCTTAGAAGGTTTAAAAGAAATACAGAGGGATGTGTAGCCACTCATCTTGGAAGCATTAAAGAAGACTTCCTAGAGGGGATGTCATTTAAATGTTGAAACAGAATTAACCAACTGAGAAGGGAGTATAAGTGAAAGAACATTTCGGTCAGCCAATGGATAAGAACAAGACCACCAACTAATCTAGAATCTCTAAATGAATCAGCATCTAAGGTAATTTTCAAATTATTATTTCCAGGATCACCCAGTCCACGGTCACTCCATCTTTTTCCTACCCATCAAATTCACAGTAATCGTGGTCTCTACAGAGTACATGTCAAATAGGTAGCCCTTTCCTCTGCCATTTCTTTGTGAAGAGAAGAGCATGTTTGGTTTCTCTAAAGGTCTAGCCATACCACAGAGAGACAATGCACAGTTGCCTCTGAGTGCTATTCCTGTGCAACTTCTCAATCTTCAGAGTTTTTTTTTTTTTTTTTTTTAAGGGAGACATGACTTTATTAGAAAAATTAAAAACAACCGAGGTGATGGCTTGGTCTTCAGCAGATGCCTTGGTGGATGAGGCTGCTTTTGGCTGCACTGGCCTTCTCCTGCTCCTGCTGCCATGCAGGGTCCAACACAAAACAGCACCATAGCCTCAGGGTCTCATCAGCTGCTGCGGATGCCACTGTGGCCCCATCTGGGCTCATGGTCAGACTCAGGACCCGGGATGTGTGACCTTTCAGTTCAACCACCTTGGCCATGGTTGGGTACTTCCAAATAACCCGCTGGTTCTGTGAAGAGTCATGGACTGAGATGAACTCCTTGTAGTGGGGAGACCAGAGGGTGGAGCACACCTGGAAATGGGCATCCACAGCACTCAGGCAGGCTCCAGAGCATGCATTCCAGATGCGAATGTGTCGATCACTGGTGCCTCTTCCTGTTGCCAGGACATTGGACTACCAGGGACACGATGCTGCAGCCTTGACAACACTTGATGCTGGGTGAATGTTTGCAGAGGAACCCAGCCACCCTCTCCAGGAGGCCACACATTGACCAAGTTATCATTACCACCACTGGCCAAATGTCATCCATCTGGGGCCCAGCCCCACCCACACACTTCCTGGCTGTGGCCACTCAGTGTGGCCACATGGTGTTCTGCTACCTGAACATCAT